GCGAACGCCTTAGGAGTAATATATGCACACTTGTTTAGAGAAGAATCCTCCATGCTATCTCCCCAAATATGCTCGATCTCACCTTGACGTTGCTGCTAGATAGCAAACAAATAAATACTAATGCACTGTTGGTCCCCAAAGTGGTTGATAATTACAAGCCACGACAGCTTTAGAAGACACGCTTTGTCACGGATTCCAGCATCGTTTAACTCACATCCTTACGCAAAGCTACCTTTATGTTGGCGAGGTATTCGCTGTCGGAAATGGTGATGGCATTAGAGATAGGCGTGTGTGTGATGGTGATGAACGTGACGACGTTGCTTATTGGGAGTGGTGGCGATATTGGATTTGGCGTTTTGTGTTTTTAATAGTTCAATAGTTTTTAATAGTGTGTTTTTAATAGTAATGGTGATGGTGGCGGTGCTGCTAGCTGTCGTGATCCTTTTTAATCCATAAATGGCAAAATATATCCTATCCTCTTTATTTAAACTGTCAAATTGAAGCAATATTTCCCCGAAATTAATTTAAAGCAAGCATGGACAGCAGAATTTATTGCAACCAGTGAATTTCGTGACGGCTTATCAACCGCAGCCTGTCGTTGCATAACGCAAATAACAAGTGAGAAAGATACAGGAGTTTGAACCTCGACAGATAAAAAATCAATGTAAAACTGCACCTACAATAATCAATAAAATGGTAACTTCAAAACGCAACATTGATTTTTTTCTGTCGAAGTTCAAACTTATGTACCTTTTTCATTTGTTATTTGTTTTATGCAACGACAGGCTGCAGTTGACAAACCGTCGCGAAATTTACTGGTACCAATAAATTCTGCTGTCCATGCTTGATTTAAACTGGCAGGTTATTGGATTTGCTTCCTGTCTAAACTATTCTCTCAACCCCTCCTGCCTGACATCTGGAGTCCGACAAACAGAGTCCTAGTTAAGCAGACCCCTGGCTTTAAGGGGCAAGGAAAATCCTGTCTTAAATGTCCAAAGTTTTTGATACTGAAAACTTGATAAAATTAAGTGATGACTGCATAAACCTGCGCATTTTCTGACAGTCCACTGTAGTAGAAATTCAGGAAACGTCATCGACATCTTTTGCGCGGTCGCTAAGCTTTGAAACAATGACGAGATTTCTAAAACCGGATTTCTTTTTTTGCCGTCTTCATTTGGTAGAACAACTTGTCAGCGATCGGGAATTGCGGACTTTTTACTTCCCACAGAATTTATTTTTAATTTCCTCAAAAATAAATCGACAATTGGAAGTAAAACAGATTATTTGATGCTTAAGGGCTTCGACAGAAACTTGACATGAATACTTGGTCCGACGTTTATCGGCTACAGCGGAATAACCGCGCAATATTTACAAATTGCCAACAGGAAGCCGCAAGTATACAAGTGCGTAACTATTTACCATACTTGGGAGCAGAAGTACTAGCTAAAATTACAGACACATGTTTCGCCGACATGTTGCCGCTGCATGACGCGGCTACGGTTCATCAAAGGGTCCCCCAGTAGTCCCCATGTGCATTCTCCTGGATACTCCAGGGCCTTAATTTCAAATTGCTGTTTCTACCATAAGGCACACGGGCGACGCTGGGGGACCCACTGATCAGCAAAATCCCTCGCAGCTGTGACAAGCAACGACAGCATGTCAACAAAACACGTGTCTGTACTTGTGTTCTCAAGTACGATATATCACACAACCCATATGAACCTTGAAGGAAATGAGGGAATTTCATGAAGGTCGACAGATCACTTTCACCTCCTTTTTTCTCAACCAGCGTTTTACACTATGCCCACCTCAGACAGCCGCCATGATCACGGCCACGGTTGAGGTTAGAACTGGGACTAGTGAAAGCGTATAATCGCTACAGACTTCCTACTTCAGCAATAACTTGTGGGACTGCCCTGGCTTCTGAGTGATACGTCAATACGACGGTCGAAAATTACCCTTGTGTTCAGAAATGTTCACATACAGTGAGTGACCTATCTCATGAAATGTAGGCTGAAAATCTAAAATGCGTTTTCGATTAGGAAGGATTACTAGGTCGCGGTTGTAATACTGATTATCTTGTGGCATACTCTTATAACATTTCGGACTGGGCAGGATGTCGACTTTTAAATGCACTTCTTTTTAATCTCCTGTAGAATGCGTGGTCGGTAGAAAATGACTACTTGTGTAGCATGCATTTTTCCCATTGATTTTCGATGGTCTTGGAAATTCAAATATATTTTATAGAAACCAAAAACAAAAATATGCTTTCTTTTAGTCAATCAATATAGAAACACGTCTTCTTTATAGTTTATACAAAAAGAAG